TTATTCGCTCTTTTCTCTTTAAAGGAAATTCTGGCAAGGTCAGCTGACGCAAATTCAACACCTGTCTAGAAAATAACATGTATCTGTCACTTTCTTCCAAAATGAAAATGAAGGGCATAGCTAAAACACCTAATAACTGACCCTAAATCAAATGCCGTGTGTTTGTTACTATGGTGGCACAAATATGAAATTCTGCTTATCACAGACCTTCTCCCTAAAGCTAACAACTCTACTATCCAGGTAAGTAGAATATACAAGTTTGAAATGAAATCTAAAGGCCAATAACAACAACAAAAAACAAGGCAGGAGAATGTACGTTTTATTAACAATCTGCAGCCCCTTCTCCCCACTCCTGGGCACGCACACACCTGTACTGCAGCACAGAAGAGCACAGCTGAGAAACCAGAGTCCACTTGTTTCTCAGAAGATTCTGGCTCCAGTGCCACTTCCTCTAAGACATGCTAACTCGAAAGATCTACACAAGGTACAGACTGGCAATACTCTTAATTGTAATTATTTCCAAAGAATACCAGCGATGCTGATAGGAGTCACACTTAGAATTTTTCAATTAAAAAAACACAGTGCTCTCACAGTGAAATCTCTCTACACTGAATCCCAATTTACGATCCAAGAAACATCCTTATGAATTATCTAAAACAAATGATGCTTGAAAATTGCTGTAATTCTAAATCTTGCAATTCTAGCATTTGGATTAGCCAGAGAAACCAGGTTCTGCCGTATTTCTGGTAAATCTTTCAGCAACGCACTACGCTTCCATCACTTGGCCTGGCTGTGTCTATGGAAATCGCAATGCCACTGTTCTACGTGCAGACTGCCTGGACTCTGGGACTGTCTCAACCTCACCTGGCACAACACACCCACCTCACGAGGTGTGTACCTGCCCAGGAGCACACTTTGGAAGCGCAGGTAACGCCATGCCAACGAAACATTTGCTTAGGAGGGACGGCTTTTGTTGCTGTTGCTGTCGCCTTGACCTCTACTGCCATGGACAGATTAAGGCTTTTTTTAGTAGAAACAGACATATAATTCAGAAAACAAGGCTCAGTTTGTTCTTTAAGAGAAAAATCAGAAAGCCAAAATTCAACGTAAAAAGAACGAGCAAGGAAATATGGCGTCAAATTTGCACAGATACTCCTTTTCCAGTTTAACAACCTTTGGTAGTTATTCTTTATATTTCCCATAGCACTCAGCACAGACTAATACGAGATAATTAATTAATATTCTGAAAGAACAGAGTCAAAAGGAAGGAGGATGGGTAAAGGGAAGAGGGAAGAGAGAAAGGAGAGTTAATGGTGCTGAATGAATGTAGTTTTATGGGGAAAACTAAGCCAGTCTGTTTACATGAATGTGTGCATAAAAAGAGGAAAATGGAAGAGTAAAAATGCTTTAAAAACCGGCCTGTCATACAATTTCCAACTGTGGCTTTGTACTAATAACACCCACTGGAAGATAATTTCAACCCACCAGTAAGCCTATTTTGTCCTGAGTTCAGCAGTCCATTCTACATACAAGGAGCAGAGGGCTCCATCCAGGGGGGCTAGGATTAGGATCCTCATCTGAATAGCTAAATGAGGGCATTTTGTCAACTGTCAAAATATTTATTTTCCAAATCACAGTGCCTACCATGCTGACATCTGAAGGAAATAGCACAAAAATAGCAACACAATTAAATGCTGGCAGATTTCTGCCTAAAGCAAAAGAGATATAGTTAAATCTACTAAATTTTGTTTAGAATAATACTGAGGGGACACTGCTCAAAATCTCAGATTTGTAGCTCAAATCAAGCTGCCCGTCTTCATGGGAATTTATACACTCTCAGTTAAATCAGACACCTAATCACAAATCTTCTCACATCTATGAACAAAGAGGGAATTCAAAATCCAACCAATATTCATTTGAAATGTACTTTCAATTATGCCGTATCCAATATGGACATAACTTCTTTTATGTCTTGATACGTTTAATATAATGTTTAGGATTTAACAACAAAATGTATTAGTATCACAAGAAGTATATGATGCTTTACTGTACTTTGGAGAACTCTCTCTACATGTTAGTATTGAAGAGTTGAGCTCTACCTAGTATGTGTGAACAATTCTTCACTCACCCATGTCACCCTGTCCTCTCACCCCAGATATCTCTAACATAGAGAAAATGTACTTATAAATAAATCCAAAATATATATGAATCCACAGTGAGTTCAGGTTTCCATGGCAAAGGGAAAATTACATTTCAAGGCTATACTGTCAAATAGATTTATCTAACACTTGCTCCTGTTTTGACTATCAATTCTGAGGAATTTTATTGGCCAACTTTAAAAATGCTTAAAATGTGAGACTGCAACGGAAACACTGATATAGCTGTAGATTAGGAAGCACAGTTCAGCCTGTTAAATAAATTTTGTCTTTTTAAATTCAAACTACAGAATTTCATTTCCCTATACTCAAACCTGGAATTTACATTTACACTCACAGATAGAATCCCTAGGAAAGTGTGAGGAAGCATACTTAATCATGTTTTCAAATCAAAATTTTAAGCTATATTCAACAACACTGCCTTCAAGAACATTTTGTCCACAATATTGTACATTTAAGATTCAAAATATTTCTATATAACATCTCCTACTCAGCCTTGAAAATAAACTAAACAAGGAAAGCTGAAATTATATTTGAACCAACCCTGCTTTACCTCAAAGCTAAGTCACTTTGTTTCTTAAATAATTAAAATATTTCCCACAGAGACATAAATTATTACACCTTCCAAGATAAGGGTTCTAAGTAATTCTATAGTCAAAATATTTCACACAACCTGTTCTCTGCAGGAAAAGTGACTCATCCAACAAACCACAGATGCCACTCATAACCTGAAGTTTCTAACATTGCAAGGGAGAAGGAATGCTGATTCATAGCATACCATGTTTATAACAAAAAAAGTAATCCAAATGGCTGTCTGCCATGTACCTGCCCCCCAAAAGTGAGTATGAAATTAAAGTGCCAAGGTAGAACTTTAAATTGTTTAGGTCATCATTAAATTTCAAATGAGTCATCATGTTTCAGTTTGAAATAAAGGTTAGAAGTTAAGACCTACTAATGAAATATAAGCAAAATAATATTTGATTTTAAAATTAATTTTTAAGTCCTCAAATAGGAATATGATTTTCCTATACTATGTTTATTGCCACAAATATGCTCGTATGCAGGGCTACTTAGGCAGAAAATGGAGCTCAGGGGTTAAGATCAAAGTCTTCAGAGTGGCAAACTGCCACTTACTTGATATGACCTTGGGAAAGTCACTTAACCTCTCTCAGGTTCAATTTCCTTAACTGTTACTCTGAAGATAATGAAAAGCACTTATATAACACCTGGCTCACAGTGAGGGAGCAATAAGTAGTAGCTGCTGTTATTAGTGTTATCGAAGGAGTCTCTGCAAATTGCACTTGTAAATCAGATGTGAATAAGAAATGGCTGCGTAATTCCTAAAATTTTACTTAAAAAAAAAAAAAAAAAAAAAGCCAATATTTCACTTGTAAATCAGATGTGAATAAGAAATGGCTGCGTAATTCCTAAAATTTTACTTAAAAAAAAAAAAAAAAAAAAAGCCTAAAGTTCAGACTTAGTTCTTTTTATAAATGAAAAACCATGATGGCAGAAAGAGAGACCAATGCCTGAAGAAGGTGAAAGAGATCAAAAAACAACACGTACGAAAAACAAAAGACATGAACCCAACAGTAGCGACTAACATCCTGGAACACTTAAAGAAAACTGCCAAAGACAAAAGGAAATGGGTGGTTCCTTCGATAATGAATTCAAACATCAATACAGAGGGCAGAAAAATGACCCAAATTTTCCCCCAATCTACAAAAATAAAATAACCTAAGTAAATTACATTTTGTATGAAGTGACAGGCAGTGGGAAATTCTTAACTTATTTGGCTTTCAGAGATTAAAACTGGACAACTAATGTCAAATATGTTGATACTTTGCTCTCCATAAAGATAACACAAAACATTTCCAACATGGTAGCATGACGGAGTAAGGAGGTGAGAAGCTCCCACACTTGCTTCAGGTTTACATGTCACTTGATCCTAAGAACCTACTACGGTGGTGACAAAATAAATACAGAATTGGAAGCATTATCCTCTGAATTCTACCCTGATTAATCATACCTGAGTACATAAAATATGTAACACAGGCAATTTCTCTGACCATTTATGAGCGATATACTCAAAGCATCTGGTATAAATTCATATTTAGAAATAAGTATAAGGAGCTATTTCTATTTTGTATTTACAGATGCAGAGTTCAATTACTCTGAATATAAATAAATTCTTAATATGTATTACCCAATAATTACGGTAACAAACGCTTATTCAGTCTTTCCCATACAATGAGCACTATCCTAAGGGCTATGGATACTGTTTTCAACAAGACAAAAATGGCCCCAATGTTCATGGAGCTTACATTCTAGTAGGGGAAACTAAAAATCAGAATATATCACATGACCATAAACATTATGATAAAAATAAATCAGGTTGTGTGATAAGAAGTGATTGAGAAGCTATTTCAGACTGGTTGGACCAGAAGAGCCTGCTCATTAAATCTACCCATATAAGACTGAAATTTGATGCCAAAATCTATAGCAAGCAATTTTTTATTTACATATAAAAATAAATGCAAACATTTTGCTAGGCTATGAAATGATAATTCACCTCATCCAATGGGTAAATGTAAACTCTTCCCAAATACACACAGTAAACACTGATAAACAGATATGGTCATTTTACCTCCAAATACCATTTCCAACACATTCATAGTGAGTTTTCATAATAAAACAAATGTAGACAAATATACAACACTTTTAAAATTTATATTCATTTTACTTACGTATTATTTTGCTAAACTATAAATAGTATAATTTTAAATGTTTGATTTTACTTAAAAATCAAAATATACCAACAGAAAAGCTTACTTTTAAACTCACCTGTGCCTGTACACAGTGCAGAAGATCTATAAAGTTGCAGCCAAATCCAAGAGAAATCTGCAATATAAAGAAACAAACAAATATAAATAAAAAATGCAGAATCCTGTTAGACTCATTAGAGTGTGATTTTTTACAACCAATATACAAATAATACTCATTAATAACATCTCTCCATTACATTGCATGGTAAATCGAGAAGACGACTTGCTGCCTTACTTCTATTTGTATAAACTAATGTAAGACACATAAGGCTACATTTCAGTGTGAATTATGGGGTGTCTGCCCAACAAATTTTGAGTGCCCGCCCTAACACTTATTACACTTCCTAGTAGCTGCCTGTCTAATCACTAGCACTGAAAGCTGAACAAAAGCAGAGGACGCCTGAGCTACCCATTTCCACACTGCACTCCTAGCCCAATGCCCAGCCCACAGTAACACAGTACACAGGAAATGTTTGCTGAATGAATGAATGACAGAACAAGTTAATTAATTAAGTTCACATACTGATCTTAATTTGCTGTGATTTATAGTTTGCCTATATGGAATAGAAAGGCTTGAAATTATTGAAATAAAAACCTATGTCATGACTGCTTAAACAAAGACGTTTAAAAGTGAATAATTTATCTCAAAAAAAAAAAAATCTTGTGTAAAATGATGCTATAGGGAATTCCCTGTAAGTCCAGTGGTTAGGGCTTGCTGCTCTCACTGCCAGGGACCCGGGTTCGACCACGGGTCAGGGAACTAGGATCCTGCAAGTCACGTGGTACGCCCCCCCCCCCAAAATGATGCTATATATGACCATTTGCATGAGTAAGAGTGGATAAGAAAAGAACTGAACATTTTCAATAATGAGGGCAACCAAGATTCATCTGGGTATGTATCTTTGAGAACAAAGAACTTAGCCATGAAGGACTGTGCAGCACTTTCTCTGATCCACACAAGGATCACTTCCACTGTACCAAAGAAGTTTATTTATTTCCAAGATGCACAGTCAGTAATACGAACACAAGCAATATGTGCCTATCATATTTTATGTGGATTAATGTTTACCACTCTTGTGTATATTATGGACCTAAGAAAAACTGCCTGACTGCTACTAGTAGTAGTATGTCTTTATTTTAACTTCTATGTACTACTAGATTTAATCAGCTTCAAGGAATGTTTTTACAACTGCATTTTTTTTTCCTTCAGGTGACACCAATCAGTAATAATTCATACTCTGATTCATTATCAGACTTAAGAGTATTAACTTTCTGATGCGCCCTTTACTCTTTAGAATAATAAATAGAACCTAATAGTAGAAAAAGGCTAATGTTAATTTAATACCCAAAACTGCCATTTTTTCTAGGGCACTAGCAACATCTGATTTCATAAAGGGGAAAGAAATGGGAAAAAAATGCATTTTGGTTTTTGCCAGGACCTGATCAATCTGGAGACCATCACAGGTAAAGAAATGCAGCTAGGGTATTAGGCAGAGAAGATTCATGAAAAACAAAAGGAAATCTGTATGCAGATAAGAGGTTATCACAGTAAATAAAACAAATGGGTTCTCCTCAAGTGGCAGCCTGAGAGTGGTGAGCAGTAAACTGTTACGTAACAGGGGTCATCAATTCTTTCCAGCACTGCCAATCTACTTAAGCCCATTCTAATTCTATACCAACAACTAATGTGCTCGAGGACATCACACTATGCCAACAGTCAAGAGTTAAAACTTGTGATGTGAGTATGAATGATGATATTAAACAATTATTGCTTGATCTATACCACTCAGAAGGTTTTTATGAATGTGCTAATATAATGAGGAAAAAGTGCTAATGAATCCAAACTAAAGTAAGATACATATGGACATGAAGATAGAAGATGTGAGTAATTTCCACAGTATAGTATGATACCTCGGTGTAACATTTTAAACCAGAAGAATTAAGAAAATACTTATAAACATAGAATTATAAAATGTTTTCTAAGTCACTAAAGGAAAAAAATAGCTATTTAAAGCAAAAGTACGGGCAGTGACCACCTATAATAAATCGGCATACCCCTTCTCATCTACGAGTCCAGATAGCTTTCAGGAAGCTACTTTAGGAGTTTCAAGGAATGGAGGGGGGAAGACCGCCCTGGGCCTTCTGTCACCGGCAGACTGACAGAAGGAAAGACAGGAACATTGCAAGAAAAGGCAGGGATACATGCATGTCGTCCTTTTCTCTCTTATTACCACTACTATTTCCACTGTATAAACTAAAAAGATAAACCTCCTCTCCATGAAGAGGGCCGCCTGGAGCAGTTGAGAGAACCTAGGGTTAAGACCACCGAACAGGTGAGGTTTCAAAACCTGGCTTTCTCATGTGAATACTGCTGCTGTTAATACTGTTCCACCACTAGCAGCTGCTTAGGTGTGTGACCTAGGAAATGTTATTGTGGACTCAACTATAAAATGAGGATGATGATGTCCTCTTTGCAGCACCTTGGAAGTATCAAATGAGATAATTACATAAAGCACTTGGTACATGGTAGGCATTACACATAATTATGATTATGGCAAGTGTGATCCTGCTAAATGCTACTAGCTGTGACAGGTAACTCAATAAAGTGACAGGTAATGTCAGGCCTACCCTACCCGAAGTAAAACTGATTTTCCCTGAGATGTCTTAATAGTGTCATCTGCCCATAACCACCCAGACGATATATAAACAATGAGCCTGCTGGGAAAGTTTTGAATGGGGACCACTTTAAGACTACACCAAAAGCTGAAAGATACTACCCGACTTCAAATCTTACAATAAAGTTATAATAATCAAAGCAGTAGGGTACTGGCGTTAAGGATAAACAACGGAAGAGAACAGAGTCCCAAAACAGGCCCACACATTTATATCAATTCATATTCAACAAAGGTGGTAAAGTAATTCAATGAGGAAAGGGCAGTCTTTTCAATAAATGGTACCAAAAACTGATTATACATAGGGGGGAGGGGGAAAGAACCTCAACCTTTACCTTGCGCCTTGTATAAAAATTAACACAGAGGACTGGGGTTGGCGGCTTGAACATAGCCCGAAGGGGTTAGTGCGCCACGACTAGCTGGGAGGGAGTCCGGGGAAAAGTCTGGACCTACCCAAGAGCCGAGTGGATGAAAGGCTCTTGCTGCTCCAGCCAGGAGTCAGGACTCTGCCTCTGAGGTGGGAGAGCCAACTTCAGAACACTCGTCAAGAAGAGACCTCCCAGCCCCACATAATATCAAACGGCGAAAATCTCCCAGAGATCTCCATCTCAACACCAGCACCCAGCTTCGCTCAACGACCAGCAAGCTACAGTGCTGGACAACCTATGCCAACCATATAGCAAAACAGGAACACAACCACACCCACTAGCAGAGAGGCTGCCTAAAATCATAATAAGTCCACAGACACCCCAAAACACACCACCAGACGTGGACCTGCCCACTAGAGAGACAAGATCTAGCCTCATACACCACAACACAGCCACTAGTCCCCTCCACCAGGAAGCCTACACAACCCACTGAACCAACCTTAGCCACCGGAGACAGACATCAAAAACAACGGGAGCTACGAACTTGCAGCCTGCAAAAAGGTGAACCCAATCACAGTAAGATAAGCAAAATGAGAAGACAGAAAAACACACAGCAGATGAAGGAGCAGGATAAAAACCCACCAGACCTAACAAATGAAGAGGAAATAGGCAGTCTACCTGAAAAAGAGTTCAGAATAATGATAGTAAAGATGATCCAAAATCTTGGAAATAGAATGGACAAAATGCAAGAAGCAGTTAACAAGGACCTAGAAGAAATAAAGATGAAACAGACAATGATGAACAACACAATAAATGAAATGAAAAATACTCTAGATGGGATCAATAGCAGAATAAATGAGGCAGAAGAACGGATAAGTGACCTGGAAGATAAAATAGTGGAAATAACTACTGCAGAGCAGAATAAAGAAAAAAGAATGAAAAGAACTGAGGACAGTCTCAGAGACCTCTGGGACAACATTAAACGCACCAACATTCGAATTATAGGGGTTCCAGAAGAAGAAGAGAAAAAGAAAGGGACTGAGAAAATATTTGAAGAGATTATAGTTGAAAACTTCCCTAATATGGGAAAGGAAATCGTTAATCAAGTCCAGGAAGCACAGAGAGTCCCATACAGGATAAATTCAAGGAGAAATACGCCAAGACACATATTAATCAAACTGTCAAAAACTAAATACAAAGAAAGCATATTAAAAGCAGCAAGGGAAAAACAACAAATAACACACAAGGGAATCCCCATAAGGTTAACAGCTGATCTCTCAGCAGAAACTCTACAAGCCAGAAGGGAGTGGCAGGACATACTGAAAGTGATGAAGGAGAAAAACCTGCAACCAAGATTACTCTACCCAGCAAGGATCTCATTCAGATTTGATGGAGAAATTAAAACCTTTACAGACAAGCAAAAGCTGAGAGAGTTCAGCACCACCAAACCAGCTTTACAACAAATGCTAAAGGAACTGCTCTAGACAAAAACACAAGAGAAGGAAAAGTCCTATAATAACGAACCCAAAACAATTTAGAAAATGGGAATAGGAACATACATATCGATAATTACCTTAAATGTAAATGGACTAAATGCTCCCACCAAAAGACACAGATTGGCTGAATGGATACAAAAACAAGACCCATATATATGCTGTCTACAAGAGACCCACTTCAGACCTAGAGACACATACAGACTGAAAGTAAGGGGATGGAAAAAGATATTCCATGCAAATGGAAACCAAAAGAAAGCTGGAGTAGCAATTCTCATATCAGACAAAATAGACTTTAAAATAAGGACTATCAGAAGAGACAAAGAAGGACACTACATAATGATTAAGGGATCGATCCAAGAAGAAGATATAACAATTGTAAATACTTATGCCCCCAACATAGGAGCACCTCAATACATAAGGCAAATACTAACAACCATAAACAGGATGGACTTAATTGATATTTATAGGACACTCCATCCAAAAACAACAGAATACACATTTTTCTCAAGTGCTCATGGAACATTCTCCAGGATAGATCAT